AACCTCCCCCGGGGATTATCAAGTTCGGCCTCCGCGCCCTCTCCACAATTGAATCCGATTGACACGGGATAAACATGTTAGAGGGGGAAAGGGGGGGGTACATGTTTATCGGGTGCAATCGGTTATGCTAGACAATCGCGTTCCACTGCTCGCAAAATAACTATTCGCAAATGGCCTGGATCCGCCGCGCGGGATCTACGATTCATTACATCGGAGCGGGCACTTTGCGAGTATGCACTTTGCGAGTGGGCACGCTGTGAGTCGTGGAACGCGCTCGGTGATATGCGGGGCCCCATTCCCCAGGACCGGTGTTTCATTCGGGGAATGAGGAATGGCATGAACATAAAAACTCGGAGGTCCACGCGGAGGTCTCGGATCCGCGCGGACCTCCGACAATTTTTACGCTTGCGTCATGTTTTGCTCCCCCCTGTGTTCATCCCGAATCGTCTCTGGATGCCCCCGGGGCCCCGCGAGGGGCCCGAGAGGCCCGAAGGTCGCGAAAAGCCTCCGCATTGACTTTTGGAGTGCGTTGGCTCTCCGGGGTGGCGGCCGCGGCGTGGCAGTGCCGCGGAGCGCCCGACCTCTGCGGCACCGCGCTCGCGCCCGCCGGCGTGCCGGATCCGGCCCGGCAGCCTTCCGAGCCGCGCCAGGCCGTGACTTCGAGGGCCTTCGCAGTCCTCCACCTCCTCCTCCTCCTCCTCCTCCTCCTCCTCCGCCTCCGCCTCCGCCTCCGCCTCCTCCTCCGCCTCCTCCTCCTCCTCCTCCTCCTGCCATCGCTCCTCCTCCTCCTCCTCCTCCTCCGCCTCCGCCTCCGCCTCCGCCTCCTCCTCCTCCTCCTCCTCCTCCTCCTCCTCCTGCCATCGCTCGGACGTCCGGTCCCCGTGCCATTGTCGACGCCGTGCGCTAAAAATTTTTTCGCAGGCTGGGCCAGAACTCTCCTCGATGCCCCCCCCGCCGAGAAGAGGTGCACGCGTCCGAGCGATGCCAAGCCGCCCTCCCCTCCCCCAACTCCTCCGCCTCCGCCTCGATCCTGACGACCCTCCGAGACGACGCCGCCCGTCGGCGCCCCGCCCCCGGACGTCCGACGCTGCGATCTCTTGGGGGCGCGCCCCCAGGAGGTCCCGACCGCCTCCTCGGGGGCATTCGAGGGCGAAGCCAGGACGAGGATGACATCGGGTAAGTTGACAAGAGACATCGAGAATCTCCGAGGTCCTGCGGATCTGGAGCACGTCTCGGGCGCCGCGGCCTTCTCAGAGCGATCCGGAACGCCCTGAGAACGCTCCGGAACGGATTCATCCTCGTCCTGACCCCGTCCGATTCTGTTCGTCCCCGATCCGTTTCTGATGGCTGTCGGCCCTGGAAACCGGAATCGAGGAGAAACGCCAAGACTGCAAGACTGAACAAAAAAGTCACATCGTCCTGGGGGTAGGTTCTCATCCTGGATCCTTTTTGGTGGCACCTGGAGGCCGAGATCGAGAGATATCGCCAGGACTGAGAGATCCGCCGAGGAAAAAATCGGAGGAGGAGGAGAAATCAATGAATGAGAACACTCAAGACATCGGAGGAGCAGTCGAGGAAATCGTGTTCGGGTGTTGCTAGAAGTGCCCCTGGCCCAAGGTGCTCCCAGCTTCTCGCTCGATTTTGGGGAGCCCCTGGGGCCCTCAGGGCCTCGTGAGGGGTGCCCTGGAGGCCGTCTGGGCCACCCTGAGAATCCTAGGGGTACCTTGGGCTAGCGGTGCTTCTAGCAACACCCGAACGAGAGCGACAGTTCGCCCTTTCGGCCAGAGTGTGCGCCCCTTCTCATTTTTCGCCCCGCATGTTGCAGCGTCGACCCCAACGTGTCCATGCCGAGAGGAAGAACGTATACCTTGCATGTCTTGAGGAAGCTATGAACAAAAAAAACGTCCCTGTCTGATGGGGCTATCGGACGGGGTGGCCAGGTGGCAGAGCAGGAGTTTGTACGAGCATGAAACAAGAAGTCTAGGGGTACTTCTAGCAACACCCGACGTGTTGTGAGCTATCTGGGGCCCCGGGCGCGCCGCCCGTCGTCAGCCGCGCACGCTGGAGCGGCTCGCACCCCGCCCACATACCCCCGGCGTCGTGACTCCTTCGCAGCGCGGGCCCCGTCTGGGGGCGCGAGCGAAGGGGGGGGCGCAAATCATGGCCCGAGGCACGTGTGAGGCTCCTCCTCCTCCTCCTCCTCCTCCTCCTCCTCCTCCTCGTCCTGCCGTTCCTCCTCCTCCTCCTGCTGTTCCTCCTCCTCCTCCTCCTCCTCCTTCTCCTCCTACCCGCGTTGAATCACAAAGAAGGGGCCCACAGAATCTGGGGAGATCCCCTCTCCTGGCCATCGCTCGAGCGCCCAATCCCCGGGCATGTTTCGACTCCGTGCGTGCATTATGTCGCAAGGTGATCCAAGATGTTCCTCCATGGTCCTCGCCGAGCGATGCCACGTCCTCTAACCGCCCCCGACCCCTTGAAAGCTTGACCCGCTTCCCTGGACCCGGCATCTCATCCCGAGCTGTTTTTTGGGAGGTCGCAGGGCCTGGCGCAGGCTCCCGGGAGGCCGACAATGACAAACGACCTTCCGCCGCGACAGACTCCACGATGCGAGGGGGGCTGGGTGCTGACGGGCGGAGGAAGAGGAGAAGGAGGAGGAGGAGGAGCAGGAGGAGGAGGAGGAGGGCGAGCTGAGAAAACGGCGGCTCAAAATCGTCCCCACGACCCCTGCTGGGGTCCAAGCGCACCCAATCTTCCGAGCTGCGTCTGGCCGTGGCGACGAGCTGCCCCCTTCGAAGGCCAACCGCCGTGGTCTCAACTCGTCCTCCTCTGCTTTCCCAGCCCCGAGCTCGAGGAGCAACGTTGGCGGGGGACGCGCTCAGGGCGGAGAACATCGAGCTTGAATCGGCGACACATCGCCGACAGATCGGCGACAGGGCCCCCGGTGGCGTGGGCCATCGGGCCCCTGTCGGAGATCGGGGGGCAATGTGCCCCCCCACCCCCCTATGACTAGTGGGGCCTCCAGGAGCCTCCGAGAAACGAACACGCTTGCGAGGCGCGAAGCACGAAAGATCATCCTCGCCCTCCAGGCTCCTCGAGGCCGCAGGAGGAGGAGGAGGAGGAGGAGGGGGAGGAGGAGGAGGAGGAGGAGGAGGAGGAGGGGGAGGAGGAGGAGGAGGAGGGGGAGGGGGGGGACAAGTTAGGTGCGCTCGCGTCAACATCTGACATCCTACCCCTCCCTCCCATCCCTTACCATGGCGCTGATTTTCTCTATCCGCGGACGCGTGTCGTAGCGGACCTGTGGCTCCGCGCGCGTGTGCGTAGTGGGTGGTGGTGCGCGTGCGTGCGTGCGTGTGTGCGTGGTTGTGGTTGTTGTGGTGGTGGTGTGTGTATGTGTGTGTGTGTGTGTGCATGTGTGCGCGTGTGCTGTGGTGTGACGTGGTGTGGCGTCTTGGTGGTTTGGTGGTGGGCCAGGTGCGTACGTGCATGATGGCGGTGGTGGTGGTGGCGGTGGTGGTGTGTGTGTGTGTGTGTGTGCGTGTGTGTGTGTGTGTGTGTGTGTGTGTGTGTGTGTGTGTGTGTGTGTGTGTGTGTGTGTGTGTGTGTGTGTGTGTGTGTGTGTGTGTGTGTGTGCGTGCGTGTGTGTGTGTGTGTGTGTGTGTGTGTGTGTGTGTGTGTGTGTGCGTGCGTGCGTGCGTGCGTGCGTGCGTGCGTGCGTGCGTGCGTGCGTGCGTGCGTGCGTGCGTGCGTGCGTGCGTGCGTGTGATGTGGTGTGACGCGGTGTAGCGTGGTGGTGGTGGGTGGGGTAGTGCGGTGGTGGTGGCGGTGCGCGGTGGTGGTGCGCGTGCGTGCGTGCGTGCGTTGGTGGTGGAAGTGGCGGTGGGTGTGCGTGCGGCGGGGCGGGGCGTGGTGCGGCGCGGTGGTGGCGGGCGGATGGGCGCGCGAGAAAGAGGCCCGCGCTGGGGCGAGAACGCCATCCTGAACGACGGAGGCAAAACACCGATCCGAAAATGAGGCCCACGCTGCAGCGGGAGCACGATTCGGAACGATTCGGGAGTAGAAATGAGGCCGGCGCCTCAGCGAGAGCAGCATTTTGAAAAAAAACGCATGCGAAAACCAAACTCACGGGAATCCTGTGTAAAAAAACAGTACGCGGGGGGGGGTCGAATATTCCCAGGACGCCATCAGGGGAAGAGGGAGAGTAGTATTCATATTGAGTAATTGTGGAGGGGGAGGAGGAGGTGGGGAATGGGAATGAGGAAGGACACGGACATGAAGGCGCTGTAGGAGCACGGCCGAGGCGGGCGGCTCGGCGCGGGCACCGCCGGGAGGCGAAGGGGCAGACCGCGGGCGAGTTGTGCCTGCGGGCCGATGCCAGCCGCTTGCCCCAACCCAATATGGGGGCGCCTAGGAGATCGGGGGCGACCAAAGAGGCGGGCGTCCAAGAGAAGGGGTTCGCAGCTCATGGCCCGAGGTGGCACAGCGAGGCATCGCGGCCACAGCCCTGGGCCCCCTCTTCTTGCGCCCGTTGTCGAGCCGCGCCGATCTGTGAGGGTCCTGGGGTCCGAATGGGATACGCCAGGATCTCAAGGCCCCCCGAAGGCCAACTACGGTGAGGGCATTGGATAAGTAACCCGTGGACAAGGAGTCCGGGGTCTGGTAGACGGTGCCAGCTGCGGCTTGACCATGGATATCACCGCCGCCCTCATGAGATCAGGAATCCTCAAGGGTCTGAGGCCCACTGGGCTGATTCCATACTTAGCGAACGCCTCCCACGCACCTATGGAGGCCTCCCAACTGGGGTCCGAGAAGATCGCGCCGGAGGATCGCGCCGCATGGGCGATAGGCACCGCCGATGCATCGGCGATGCAGCGGCGAAGTCGGCGTGGCGAAGATCGGGCTCCACACCGAGCTGGAGCGCCGATGCATCGGCGATGCGGCGCGGCCCTCCGACCCCCCCTGCTCGGGCCTCGCCCTGCGGTCGAGCTCCCCGCGGGGCGGCCTCACAGCAGGGCCGCGAGGGCGGCAGCGGCCACTGGCCCGACCGGCACGAGCGCGCAGCGCCCCGCCCGGTCCACCTCCGACGGCGACGGGTTGTCCTGCCAAGGCACGGGGGAGCCCAGCCCGTAGGAGGGCGACGGGGTCGGCGCCTCGGGCGACGGGCTCGACGACGGGGTCGGCGACGGGGTCGGCGACCGTGTCGGCGACGGGGGTGGTGGTGACCCAGACCTCCGATGATGTGCTCTTCCCAGGCCTGGCGCTTTTTCCTCGGTCTCGGCCTATGGGGTTCGCTATACGTCGGGCCCCTGGAGCATGCGAAGCGGACCCGGGACGGACAAGATGCCCCCAAAGGAAGGAGTCGGGGCCTTCCTGGGACGGCGCTGTGAACAAAAACGCCTCGTCGGATGTCTGGGCATGGTGACGGAGTCGGCTTCGGAGTAGGGCTCGGAGTAGGGCTCGGAGTAGCCGGCGGAGTGGCGCCGGTGTGTTCGGGCCACGAAGCGTCGTCCAGTGGGACCGAGCCGCTGATGTCGGTGAGCTGCTGGGGGCACCGCACGCGCCGGAAGCTGACGTACGGGTTGTTTGTCTTGCCGCTCGACGCGAGCCACATGTACCAATCGTGGCGCCAGTGGCAGCCTGCCTGCAGCTCTGACGGGAGCGCGCTGCACCCGCTCCGCGCGGAGCAGCCGCCGTAGTTGTTGCCGCAGTCGAAGGCGCTCGAGCTGTAGCCAGAGAACTGCTTGGTGCACCCGCTGGTGAACTGGCCCTGGCCGGCACCGGGGATCCGCCGCCCCCGCTGGGGCCGATGCAGCCAAGGCTGTCGCTAAGGCAACAGATACATCCTAGGGGGTATGGGCCAGCTTTCGAGGAACACGCCCTGAGCAGCTGGGCAGCTTCGCGCGGGCTGCCCTGTGTAGTTGCAGCGGGCTGAAGGGATGGGCCACGTGAACCGAAGCCGCCGAAGAAACGCAGGGCCAAGGCGAAGACTAGAGATTTCGTAATGATTGGCGGAACTGTCTGAAACTTCACTGGCGAGGGAGATGTGGCCTCCTTCCCCTGGCGGCTCACCAATTTGGGTGGTGGTGGCGGCGAGCTGGGAGGCGGCCGGGCGACGGGGGCGGTCTTCTGACTAGGCAGGTGGCAGCCTCTTGAAAGGGCCCAGGGGCCTTGTCACGGCTCGGACGACCATTCCCCATGCACTGTCTGGTTTCGTGCGTGCTCTTGCTTCTCCGGGTGGTGCAAGATGCCCCAAGATGGCCCAGCTGGTCTGGCACTGGCGCCGCCGAGGGAAATGCACACGTCCGGACGACACCAGGAGGCGTCTGATGAGGCTTCGCAGAAGCCAGGGCGGCTTCTGACCGGCCCCGTGCCTTCTTGGGAGGCCCCGCTCGGCCCGCACCCCTCTGCGCGCCGTCGGGGGCAACGAGGTTCGAGACCGCGGTGCGGAATCTTGTTGCTGTGTGTTGCTTATCCGTCGTCGCAACCGCGACCTAACCGCGACCCACCCCGCGACCTACCCGCGACCCACTCGCGATTTGTCCCCGTGACCCACCCACGACCCACCCGCATCGTTTTGGCCAAACATCGGCGTCTGCGGCAGACTCGATGCGTAATGCGTTGAAGGATCAGCGACCTGCGGCTGGCATTTTTGCATGTGCCTTCGAGCCTCGCAAACTGCCGGCGACCCTCCCGCCCCCTCACTCTTATCCGCAACTGCGAGGGCGGCTAGGGTAGAAACACCGTACGTAGCAGAACCAATACTTAGCAGCAGGAGCAGCAAATTGCTAACAGCATATTGCACGCAACAAACGATGGTCAGCAAGAGCAACCAGTGACAACAGTAAGAAGCGGCAGAAGAAAGCAGCATGAATCGGCAGCAACCAAACATTATCCAGGGGAAAGACCCAACCATGCGCAATTGTGAATACCGCAGTTGTGAGCCCCGCCTTCGGTAAAGCTCCCTGTGGGGCCACGTATAGTATGAGGGGTGTGCCGAAATAGGTGCGGCGGCGCCATGCGAGCCCTGCGACTGGGGCCGTGGACCTCCCTAAGGGGCGCCATGCGAGCCCTGCCACTGGGGCCTTCGAAGGACCTCCCTGTGGGGCCACGGAACGTTCGAGGGGTGTGCCGACATGGGTGCGGTGGCGCCATGCGAAACCTGTCACTGGAGCCTTCGGTACAGCTCCATGTGGGGCCACGGAATGTGAGGGGTGTGCCGACATGGGTGTGGTGGCGCCATGCGAATCCTGCCACTGTGGCCTTCGGTGGAGCCCACATAAGGGGCCACGGATCGTACGAGGGGTGTGCTGAAGTGGGTACGGCGGCGCCATGCGAGCCCTGCTACTGGGGCCTTCGGTGCACTTCCCTATGGGGCCACAAAACGTGTGAGGGGTGTGCCGACATGGGCGTGGTGGCGCCATGCGATCCCTGCCACTGGGGCCTTCGAAGGACCTCCCTATGGGGCCACAAAACGTGTGAGGGATGTACCGAAATCGGCGCGATGGCGCCATGCGAGCCCTGCCACTGGGGCCTTCGGTGGGGCTCCCTATGGGGCCGCAAAAGTGTGAGGGGTGTGCCGACATGGGTGTGGTGGCGCCATGCGAGCCTGCCACTGGGGCCTTCGGTGGAGCCCCCTGTGGGGCCACGGAACGTGCGAGGGGCGTGCCGACATGGGTACGGTGGCGCCATGCGAGCCATGCCTCTGGGGCCTTCGGTGGACCTCCCTATGGGGCCACAAAACGTGCGAGGGGTGTGCCGAACTGGGTGCGGTGGCGCCATGCGAGCCCTGCCACTGGGGCCTTCGGTGGAGCTCCCTGTGGGGCCACGGAACGCTGTGCTGGATGTGCCGAAACAGACATGCGGAGGGCAGAGGCAAGGATGGGGAGGAGGGAGGAGAGGGAGAGGGAGGAGGAGAGGAGAGGAACGCGCTCGGGGCGCTGTCTCTTCACAACGAGGACCCAACAACACATGATGGTTGGGAACAATGAGCAGCGAACAGCAGGGGCAAGGAAGGCAGCAAGGGAGGGGATCAAGGGAAGAAGCGGGGGAGGCAGAGAGGACGGGAAGGAACGGGAGTGGTCGGGCCGGGAGTAGTTTGGCGAGGAGGCGAGAAAATGGAGGACGAGGAGAAGACTGAATAAGTACTTGTACGCATCGGAATCAAGGAATCGGCACCGACGTAAGCCTGTTGGATCAAGAGATCGAAGCTGTGAACGCCAGTGACGTCGTAACCGATGTTCGTGACCTGCACGACGTGCCTCTTGTTGACCAGGTTCGGGTGCGCCCCGCCCCACGGGTACCCGCTGCCGTCCACGTGGTTCTGGCTGGTGAAGACCAGCTCGTAGCATTGGCCGCAGTTCGCGTCTCCGTTGAGCCCAGAGATTCCGCCGACCGCTGCCGCCGCGAAGCCCATGCTCAGGTCCGTGCTGACCTGGAACGGCTCGTTGCTGGCGCAGGTCGCCGCGTCACCGCCCTGGCAGACCGAGGCGACGTTGGTGTTCGACAGCACGGCGCCAGTGGATGCTGAAGAACGAAAGAAAACAACAACAAGCACCTTCGCAGCTCCGCGCGGATTTCGTGTGTCGGCGATGGCCCCCCCCACCCCCCTGTGACAGCCCCTTTCCCAGAGCGCGAGGCGCGCGGGGGGGCGGCGCCGGAGGGGCGAGCCGCCAGGGCTTTCGGGAGGAGGCTTCCGCGCCGACCCCGGACATCCGTGACCCCCCGAAAATGTGTGTTCATGCCTTCAATCGTCCTTCTGGATGCGCTGCAGGACCGCACCGGCTGGGTCACGCTGCCCTTGTTGGCACGAGGGAAGCGGGTCCCTGAACCCCGGTGGCCGGCCTCGAACGGGGATCCCTGTCCCCGAGATCGGCAAGCCAGAAGCGATGGCAGTCTTGGGGATGTGCACTCAGAAACCCAGGGATCCCGTGAGATCGGCGCCGATGGAAGGTGATGCCAAACATAGGGGCAGGGATGCGTCTCAAGCTGGCAACCTGGGGCTTTCCCACCGTCCCACCTCCTTTCCGTCCCGGGGCCCGGGGAGGGCCCCGGGGCCCCCGAGAACGGAGAAGAACAGCGGGGCCCGTTTCCCTCAGCACCCGTTTGCCTCATATCGGGGGCGGCCAAGAGGGGGTGTCGCAAATCATGGCCGGCGGCACGTGCGCGGCCCAAGGGGGGGGGGCCAGGGACGTCCAGACATATGATGAGGCGCCATGACATCTGGGGAGTCATCATGGCCCCCGCCATGATACCCCCCCCCCAGTCCTCGCCCCCCTCCTGGCCGCTCCCAACTCGTGGCGGCCTTGTTCGGCCACGAGCAGCTCGGCTTGCAGCAGTCCCAGTAGCCGGTCGTCCACGTGCCCGTCATCCACGAGCCCAGCGCCGAGGTCGGGCCCTGCAGCGCCGCGGCGGCCGCACCCGCCCTCAGCGCCCTGGCCGCGCGCGTGCCCGGCATGGCGTGGACGGAGGCCTGGTCTCGAGTCTGCGCAGCCCGGCTCGAGCCGAGGGTGGTCGCAGGAACAATCAGCATCGAATCGGCAAGCCCAGACATCGGGCGTCTCGAGAACATCCGGGCGGAACTGTTTCGTCGTTTCCGGCCTCTCGAGGCCCAGCGAGGGCCCCGGGACTGTCAGCAAGCGACTCGGGATGATAAACCTGTCCCGGGGAAGTGGTCAGGAGGTTGGGGCCCGGTGTCTCGAAAAAATCGAGACGTCGGATGTCTGGGAGCACGATCCGATCGGAACAAGTATGGGTTCGGGTCGCATCGGCACGGAGTCGGAGCCCAATCAGATCGGCTGCTCCAGAATGCACAGCAACGACATGCAAGCATTCGGCCACAATGAATCGCAGGGACACCGAAACCGAGTCGGATAGGGCTGCAATCAATGTCGAATCGGATCGATCGGATCAAAATGGACCATGTAGCGTGGGAGACCCATCCTCTCCCTGCAAATGTGGCAGACGCAATCGTCGACACGGTGACACGGTCACGAGTGTCTCTGCGGCCTAATGAGGGGACCCTGTTTGGACGACCTGACTGCAATGCTCGCGAGCTGGCTCGCTGAGGAAGAAGAAGACGAATAAGAATGTACACATACAAACAAAAGCAAACATAACAATAAGAAGAAGACGAATACAACTAATAATAATACTATAATAATACTATAATAGTAATAATACCATAAGAAGGGGTGGCGGCCGCGGCCAGCGATTGTCGACAACGCCAGTCGCTGGACAGCCAGGGAGGGCCTTACCATCTGGCATCGCGGGCCACTGCGAGAAACCAAGGCGGCCGAGCAAGGCATGCGTTTTGGCCAACGCCGAACATCGTAACGAAGCGCGGCAGAACAATTCGGAAGCAGGTGCCGGCTCGCCTCAATATTCATCCTACATCATCAGCATATAATCCATACGATAAGAGATCTGGCCGCAGGACATTTTGGGGCACACTCTTCGTGGATCTTTGAGGGTCCTGAGGTGCTCCAGAGCTTTTTTAGAGGTTCACCCTGTAGTTTTTGATGACCCCAGCGGCAACAATGACAACGCGAACAATGCAACTTCGCTTTCTCTCCCTCTCTCTCTCTTTCTCTGTCTCTCTCTCTCTCTCTTTCGCTCGCTCGCTGGTCCTTTGGATTATCGCGGGGCACCGTGGGGCACCTGCTCGCAAGCCACTGTCTCATTTGGTGTGCCTGCTGTACCCCTCGTCTCCACAATCGGAATCTACCCGCATTGTTGGAGGAGGAGGAGAAGAAGGAGAAGGAGGAGGAGGAGGAGGAGGAGGAGGAGGAGGAGGGTATCCGAGAGGCAGCTGACAAGCCCGTCGCACATCGCATGGGATTGCGCAGCCTGTGCGAGAGAGCCGCTGGAAGGGATCGCAGATCGCACCAAGCCAAATTCCCCCAAGCGCGGAAGCCATTGGCTACAGCACCTCCCGTGATCATCAGGGGAGAACAAGGATGAGAAACGCGCCGCCCACAGGCAGTACCGGGGCTTGGCTCACGCACATGGCTAGGCGCTCCCGGCTGGCTTTCATCGCCACCACCATCGCCACGGCGAGATGTCAGCTTCCCGATTGCTCGTGGACAGGGCCCTCTCTGGATCGCCACGCGTATCCACCGATGCTTCCTGCTGCCTGCGCCACTTCTCTCTGGTAGCGCGTGCCGACACTGGCTGCTGCCCCAGACTTCCGACGCCCTGATTATTCGAATGCGTTGCACCCCAAACCTCTCGATCCCTTCCCGGGGACCTCCACAGTCGGCCCTAGGCCAGAAGAACTTCCCTGAAGGACCCGAGACCCTCTGTCGGCCAAAACATACAGAGCATCCAAGGGTACCCTCCCCAGGATGCACGAGAGCATCCAACAAGCACGAAGAAGATGAGGCCACCATCCCCGAATCGACCTCGATCTTACACCTCGGTCCGACCGTGCTTTTCGTCAAAGATTGCTGCCGCTGACGGGCCAAAGGTCCCCCAAAGACGGAGAATGCCCGCACGCCCCCACACCCGTGCCCTCCACCTTTGTCAAGACACTGGATCCTCCTCCTCCTCCTCCTCCTCCTCCTCCTCCCTCTCCTCCTCCTCCTCCTTCTCCTCCTCCTCCTCCTCCTCCTCCTCCTCCTCCTCCGTCTCCTCCTCCTCCTCCTCCTCCTCCTCCTCCTCCTCCTCCTCCTCCTCCCTCCTCCTCCCCTTCTGCTCCTCCTCCTCCTCCTCCTCCTCCTCCTCCTCCTCCCTCCTCCCCTTCTGCTCCTCTCCTCCTCCTCCTCCTCCTCCTCCTCCTCCTCCTCCTCCTCCTCCTCCTCCTCCTCCCCTCCGTCCGCGCACGCCTGCCGCGAGCAGGACGCACCGCGGGGGGGAGGGGGGCGAGGGGCAGCAGCGGGAACGCTGTCCGACATCTCCCGCTGGAAGGCGCCGTTCTCCAGGAAGGAGTTGAAGAGCGGAATCCTCCCGCCGCCCGCCCTCCCACGCAGCGTGGGCACCCGACGACAATCGGCCATATACGAACGCCTCCGCAAGGCTCTCCAGAAAGCTTCGACCCCAGGCATCTGGCGTCGCGCTTCTGTCCCATATGGGCCCCCTGGAAATCCCAGTCGATTCTCGAGTCGTTCCTCATGGCGCTTTGTTTCCGTACGGGGGGCCTGGGAACCAGCATTCCATCCAGAGTCGTTGTTTATGCTCCTAAAACTCCGTTTTGACTTTGATCAAAGCGTTGGATGTCTGGAGCGGCCTCCAGAAACCTTCGGTTTTGTTCCCGCCCCTCCCTCCGCCCACCCGGAAAAGTCGTCACCTCCTCCCCCTCCCTCCATCCCTTCCCCTCAATCCTCCTCGCCCCTTCCTCCCTTCTCGCTTCCCTCCTCTTTCTCCTCCTCCTGCCACTCCTGGTCCTCCTCCTCCTATTCCTCCTCCTCCTCCTCCTTTTCCTTCGCCTTCTCTCGCCCCTCTGCTTCCCTCCTCCCTCGCCGCCCCCTCTCCTTCTCCGTTCTCGCCCCCCCCCCCTCGCCCCCCTCCCCCTCCCCCCTTCTCCTCGCCCCCTCGCCCTCGGCCCAGGCCGCCAGAGCGAGAGCCCGAAGCGTCAGCGAGGCCCCCGCCGCCCCCCCCCCCCGCCTCGTTGCAGCTCCATTTGCTGCAGTAGGACCTGCACTTCGACCTCCAGTTTGAATCTGCTGCTCGATTGGCATTATCGCTCTTCTCCCCCGCGCACCCCGCGCGAGCGCCGCCCCCCTGCCTGCCCCTTTCAGTGATGGGAGATCAACGCACACTCAAACCTATGGGGACGAGGAACTAGGAAGGGCAAGGAGACAAAGGCGCTATGGGTATGGGTGCGGGTTGTCGACCCCGAACGGAAGGTTCCGTTCGAGCGCCGACCCCCCCCTCCGCCAACATGAGCATGCACCCACAGCCCCCCATATATTTTTTTTGCCAGGACAGAACACCTGGGCGACACAACCTGGAACAAAGTGCCCGAGGTGCCAACATGAATTCACGTGCAATCGGACCTCGCAACATGAATGGCAGCAGAGACGCGCCCCAAGCGTCTCATCTGCGCCGCCGTTGCAAAGTGCCTCGGGATGCCACCCCGAGACACGGCTACCAGCACCACCCCTTCTTGGTCGGTCGCCGTCCTCAAGCAGCGGAGACCCCACTGTCCGAGGGCTTCAATTCCCGCGCCCACCCGGTCGGGGGACCCCTTCGAACAACCCCATCGGGCCCCTCAGGGTTGGCACGGCGGGCCTGCACCTACCGTGGCTGGCCAAGCAGACCCGGAGAAACCTGGGGGTCTTCTGGGCATGGGTGCTCGCTGTTAGCTCGTCACCTCCGCCCCGCTACCCCGCCCCGCGGCCACGCCTACACGACGCCCCGACGCCGACCGACGACGCCGACGCCCACCTCGCGGCGCCGACGCCCGGCGAACAAACGCCGCCCGCCCGGGTGGTCAAACGGAACACCCCGGGGGGAGCCAGCGGCGCCCGCGGCCGCCGGGCCGGCGGCAGGCCGGGGCGGCGGCGGCGACCCCGGGGGGGCGCCTCGCCGCCCGGCCGCCTCGCGGCCGTCCTCGTCGCCATCCTTGTGTTCCCCGTCGTCGAGATCGCTGATCGATTGCCCACTGGGCCGCGCGCCCGCGCGCTCGCACACGCAGAGCTCGATCGCACGCTCACGCAGTCTGGTGAGTAGAACACACACACAAAACACAAACACAAGCACAAGCACACACGCAAGCACACACAGAAACATAAACACAAACACACCCAAACACACCCAGGCACACACAGACACACACACACAGACACAGACACACACACACCTTCCCCCCTCACACACATACAAACACACACACACACATACTGTGGCACAATCTCATACCCCACACCGGCTCTGTCGTCGCACACTCGCACGTTCTGGTAATTGTCTGCATGGCTTCCCTCCCGCACGCAAGCACGCTGTGCGACTCTGACTCTATTGAGATCTCGAAAATTTTTGACTTTATCACAGAATCCGCTCCTCCATTGACCTCATAATCTCTCATGGCACAAACTTTTCCGCACAAGTATCTGCGCCTGCAACGTGTTGTAACTAGACCTGTATGGCTACAAAAGCTGGCGGTGCAGGGCAATGCTGCCACTGGTGGGGATGAACACTTGACATGCACTCCAGCTGTGCCAACGATGGTGCGAAGTTGCAGTCTAAAAAAAAACAGAGATCAGCTTGCAGAGCATAGACATGTGCTTCAACCCTGCGTGCAACTTCGTGTTGCACCTAACTAAAACTTAACAAATGCTCCACTGCGTTCCTAACCACCTCGAGAGTCCCCGGTTCCTCCTCCTCCTCCTCCTCCTCCTCCTCCTCGTCCTCCTCCTCCTCCTCCTCGTCCTCCTCCTCCTCCTCATCACACCCCGTCCTGCTCCTTATCCTCTTCCTCCTCCTCCTCCTCCTGCCCATCCTCCTCGACAATTCCCTCTCTGCCTCCTCCTTCGTCCTCATCTCCTCAGACTCGACGCTTAGACCTGTCCTGGAGCGCGTTCTGACCGGACTTCTGCAAGAGCCCAGCCATGCCGACGGAGGCCCTCCAACTGCCGAGAACCACAAGGGCTCCCCAGGGAAACGGGACCCGGCACCTCCAGGCCCGAGAGGGGGGGTGGGCGGGGAGGGGCGGAACATCGAGCCTGCATCGGCGACATCGCCAGGACGATGCCTGTCCCCACCACCTGAGCCCTGAACTTCATCATCCCCACCTGGCATTGCCCCAGAAGGGCTCCCCAGCGCCAGCGCACTTCACCCCGCGCCGCTCCTGGATGGCCAGGGGATGGCCAGGCCGGGGCCCGAAGAGGGCACCAAGACAGCCTGCAGGAGGGCCCGAAGACGGCAACGTACTTTGAAGGTGGCCCAACAGAGCATGGAGCTCTGGAGCTCCGAGAGGGTGCCGAAGATGCAGGAGCCTTCCTCCTCCGCCTCCGCCTCCGCCTCCTCCGCCTCCTCCTCCGCCTCCTCCTCCTCCTCCTCCGCCTCCACCCCCGCCTCCTCCTCCTCCCTCAGAGCCGCTTCTCTCGTGGCGCCCCCCGTAGATCCGCTCAGAACGGGGCGCCGCGCCCCTCCCAGGGTCCATCCTGGCAAGCCTTCCGAGCTGCGGCCGTCAGCCGTGGCCACGCGCCCCCCCCCCCAGTGCCGAGACAAACAAGAAAACGGCCCTGAGGAGCCCCGAGATCCAACGAAGCCAAACATCTGCAGCACCGTGGAGCACCACGCCCAGAGCCCTGTGGGCCCCTGCCTGCCTCAGTCTCCGAGCAGCACCGATCCGTGATGGGCCCTGGGGCCTGCCGCCGAGCGAAAACGCCCGGTGTGCACAAAATTGCTGAACGCCCCGATATCTCAGGGAGGCGCAGTGCCCAGGCCGCCTGCGCGAGGCATCGCGAGGCGGCCTCCCGGCAGGCCAGGCCCCCCGAGGCAGCCGGCTCTGCCACGAAGGGGCGCGGGCAGGCTTCTGCTGCCGCGCCGCCCGGAGGGGCGGCCTCGGCCCCCTCCCCGCGGGTGGCGGCCCTCCGCGCCCTGAGCCCTCGCGGACGGCTGTCCTCCTGCTCCTCCTCCTCCTCCTCCTCCTCCTCCTCCTCCTCCTCCAACTCCTCCTCCTCCTCCTCCTCCTCCTCCCTCCTCCTCCTCCTCCTCCTCCTCCTCCTCCTCCTCCTTTCCCTCTCCCCCAACAACTCCTTCCCCTCCCCCTCCCTCCCCCTCACCCTCCCCCACACGGGGGCGCCAAAGTCCTCGTGGACGGCTTGGGCCGACCGTGTATCTTCCCGGAGACCCGGCACAAATTGGAGCGGCTGGTTTGGGGCTACAGTCGGGGTGGAGTGGAGAGGACGCGCGAGAGGACATGAGACTCTTCCGAGGGCCACACTGCCAGTGGAACGTAGAGAGCATGGGTCGCGAGGCACAGGACACAAGAAGGGTGCTCTTGATTGGGCAGGGTCGACCTACTAATCAGCCTCGACTGTATTCTCGGCCTCCAGGGTCCCTGAACATGAAGGGGCCCTGGGAACATCAAAAGACGACTCAGGATGAAAAGCCGGCCTGGGGAAGCTGTCCAGAGTCCAAAGCTCTGGGTGCCCACGCAACGAAACACATGGAACGCTGGATGCCCGGGTGCCGATTTTTGTTGAATCTGCGGTGTCCTCGGAAGTCTCGAAGCACTCCAGGGGGCCGGCCTTTCGTCCAGAGTCGTGGTTTGACGGCCCCGGGGCCCAGCGAGGGCCTCTACACGTCGGTCGGAAGAAGTAGGTAAAAACATGAAGTAGGAAGGCGCATAAAGTTGATTGGGTCCAGGCCCCCCAGAGAATAACAAAACACAGCAAAAGCGTGTCGATTCTTGAAGTAGGAAGGCGCTTGAAGTAGATTGGGATCTGGGAATCCAAAAATACCTACTTTCAACGACCGCCGTGTATACAGAGGCCGAAGGCGGCGCAGATCCTTCGCCTTGACTTCTCTGCGCTCGACCTCCGGACTGTCGTCCCTGGGCCTCTTTCTGCTGGTCCCCCCAGGGCCCGAGGCCCGAAAATACGGCCCCCCGAACAAGTCGACCCACAGGAAGAGCCGGGGATGCAGGGCCCCGAGGGATCGAGAAAGCAGAACGCCCGGGATCTGTGGGCGGTCGGGTCGAAATAACCCTGCACGGTGTCCCCCAGGGCCGTAGGCGACCCGAGCAGGGGGAGGAGGAGGGTGTGGAGGACGGAGAGGGCGAGGAGGAGATGGAGGAGGAGGAGGAGGAGGAGGAGGAGGAGGAGGAGGAGGGCGAGGAGGAGGAGGGCGAGGAGGAGTGGAGTGGAGTGGACGCCGTTGCGGAAGCAAGATCCCATCCCTTACACATCGCGACTCCGAGCGGCCCTCGAACGCCTGGCAGTCTGTTCTGCCTGGCTCAGGACCTTGGGCTGTAACCCCCTTCTGATCCTGTCAAGGTA